TCAGTAAATCCCCAACTGAACCTTTGAAATTAGACTGGTTTCGCATTTTATGGCACAAAATAAAAATCTTATTCCGTTATAGTGTATCCTGAACACACATTTTATTAAGCTCTTGACTCATTCAGCCATGTGTATTTTGTAAAGTTCCTATGGTTATTGTTTTACAATAGCTGCTTCCAGAAGCATTGTAAGGGTTTCAATTAATCAGCTCTTTGTGTGCTTCAGACTATGCAAATTTATCGCATCAAGCCATTCAGCAGCTCATGGGAAAGCCGTGTACAAACTGTATTGTCTTCTAGCGCCTCCTCTCATTTAGAGTGATGTTTTTAATAAGCGAGCTAATCAAGTTTACTTATGCATTATTTATCTGTTAATTTTAATTCTGTTCTTTCTATCCTATGTCAAATGGGATGTAGCAAGTGATATGATAGATCTGTAAATGATTCAGGTGTTGAAGAAAGCTAATATGATTTAGCACTCTTCCCCCCCCCCCCCCCGGAGTTGTGTATATAGTTGTGTAATAAATATGATGGCTAATTAGAGAAATTTGAAGCAAACATACCTGGTACCATATATTGATTTGCAGATTTGTCTATAAATCTGTTCTCCCGCAAAATACTTTGTAACTATAAAACAGCAATTGTATTTGAAAATAGCCTTCTTACTGAAAGTTTAGGCCATCCCTTTAATTCCAATGTATACTCTGTCATTGGACACATCTAGTACTGAAAAATCCAGAGTGCACCTATTAAGGAATTAAGGTTATTTTTCTAACCATATAAGAGTAAAGGAGCTAAACAAGTTCATCCAGTAGTGGGCTTCTTCTCACCTCTGCAGCAGAAATTAGTAGTAATGCTGCTGCCACTTCTATTCACTTAAGTTAGTCCTCTTTTCTCTCCAATGTGCTGCCTGTTGACAGTAATTAGGCTTTTACATATTAGGTTGTTTTGACTTTTTAATTTTTTCATTTGTGAGTGTGTGTTTTATTTACGGAAAGTATCTGTATGGTGGCTTGTGAAAGAGACTTACCCCTACTGCTGGATATTTTTGATTGTTAAACAGTGTGTTTTAGAGTCAGGGCCGGCTCCAGACACCAGCGCAGGAAGCAGGTGCTTGGGGCGGCCAATGGAAAGGGGCGGCACGTTCGGGTCTTCGGCGGCGGGTCCCTCAGTCCCTCTCGGAGGGAAGGACCGGCCGCCAAATTGCCACCGAAGAATGAAGCGGCTTTTTTTTTTTCTCCGCCGCTTGGGGCGGCAAAAAAGCTAGAGCCGTCCCTGTTTAGAGTGGTAAATTCACACCTGCTAGCAAGCAACGACAGCAACACGTAAGGGACACAAATTCTAGAGTTTTGAATCTCTGTAGGTGGAAAAGTAAAATCTCTCAATAAAAAAAGTGAAGAGATCAATGTATCTTTAAGACCCTGATCTTGCAAAGAGATCCACGTTGTGAGACCCAGTCCATGAACAGAGTGGGATTCCATACAGATTGACATTTATGCCCACATGGATCCCTTTGCAGGGTGGGGTGAATATGTAGTCAAGAAATTATCACGTATCTGAACACAGTACGGTGCCAGTTGAAGAACAGCTCCTAGTTATCTTCTGTTCGGAAGAAAAGTTGCTTGAAAAGATTTGATTTATTTGGCTGCTGTGTTGTAAAGCACTGGAGTACTTCTCGTTAATTGGATTTTTTAAAATGCTGTTAGTGCAGTTTATAAAATCTATATTGAAATATTTGGAATAAGACCGTTTCAGTAACATCTTTTTTAAAAAGAAATTAATTATATGATGTCTGATCTCGATTATAAATTCCTTGCAAAAGTTTGTTCCAGAATTAAAGGGTTTTTTTGTTTGTTTTTTTGAAGTTGAGTGAATAGGCAGAGACCTAGAAAGCATCTGGCAATCTGCCTGCTTAGACTCATATTTGTAACGTAAGTCCACATATTTTTTAAATAAAAAAACAAGTTTCACTCCATGTAGAAGAACACATGCAGAATTATTTCCTGAACTCTTTATAGATGTTCAGCTCTGTCCCCAATATGAGAACTGAAATGTGTAGGTGAGGGCAGAATGTGGCCCATAATAGTACAGCATTTTAAAGTAGATCAGTCTCAGACTACATCTCTCACAAGAGATGGGGCATTTAAAGGTGGGGGAGGAGTAACATTACATGAGACTCTGAGGTATACATTAAAATATATATGTGATGGAGGAAAAAAGTTTTGAGGTGATGAGCAAAACTATTAGCTCCCTAAGTATGATGAATAGGGAATTCAGGCAAAACCATTTTATTTCCTTTTTAATGCCACAGAGGAAGTTTATACCCTAGTTTGAGAGTGTGTTCTTTTTCTGTAGATGGGCATGGTAAAAAATCAGTAGGTAAAGTGAATTTCAGTTCATACTTGGACAGGGAAAGCTCTTTAAATCCTGAGATTGTTTTATATCCTACATTTTTGGGGGTGTAATGCTCTATTATCCAATTTCAAAGTGGTGTTGCTATTGTGATGGATGATTTCATTTTATTTTTAATTTCCAAAAGGCTACACTGGATAGAGCTAATTTGCCTGTTTGGGTGTGTGGTTGTTGTCTCTTTTTTTTTTTTCCCTGAGGGATTTTAACCCTGCAATGTGGTTTTGCTTTTCACCAATAGACGGTTGTGCTGTAAACAATGGGTCAAGAATTCTGCTTGAGTTGGGCGTGGAATCTGGGGCTTAAAATATGAACCTGTAAATAGTGTGTTTAATATCAACATAATTTCTGTATGATGAATTTTGTGTTCTGTGCTTTTCCAAGGTCCTGAGAAAATTGTTTTTTAAATTAAATACATCATTAACAGTATTAAAAAAAATCCTGATGGTCTGTATATTGCATTAATTTAAGACTAGATACAAAGTTTCTGGGGATTATTTGTGTGAGATGATCTTAGAATTTTGGGGTAGGAAAATATCTTCAGTCGTGTTGTAATGTTTTTAAAAAATAAAATCTGGATTTAGAATTAAGATTTAGAACTTTTTGAAATGGGGACTTTAAAAATGGCCTACTCAGTTTCAGATCATCAGATTCTGTCTAAATATTTTGTTTTAACTTCTAAGCTCATTATGCTCTCTTTGTGTTAACTTGTATTAAAATCTGTCAGCTATGACTGGTCTCATAAGCACAGTCAGCGGACCAGAATAAGTTAATTATTTACTTGTGTCACTAGTGCTCTTCATCTAATGAAATGCACAGCTGTGTTAGATCTGCAGTTGGATGTGTAGATTCCATTGTTATACAAGTCAGCAGAGGGTAGAAGCCGCTATGATGGAGAGCCCTCAGTTCTTTCTGCTGTTCTGCCTTTCTGTGTCGATTTCATGGATCTTTTATCATTTACTTTCACACAAAACAAACAACACAGTGGCTGTCTGCTATGGGAACCGTCTTGGCATATTAAAGGGTTTTCAGAGCCTCAAGTAATTTTAAGTTAGCTAAAATTGAATTTTTGGCTTACAGGTGCCCTTAGTCCACATGCAATCTATGAAAACATTAGAAATGAAAGGGAATGGGGCGAAACTCTCAATTTATATATCCATAAATATTTTTTTGGAGGGGGTGGGAGGGAAATGTGCAGTATGCAGAAGATTTAATAAAAACTCTTGTATTCTAATCTGCTTTCACCAAATGCTCAAATCTTTCTGGGGAAAGGATTGTTAATGATTTGTTGCAAAGAGCTAGGGGAAATTAGTCTGTACTAGATTACAAACTAAACATAAAAATACAAAAGCTCCAGTTGTCTTCCCCTTTTTCCCTTCCCCCATACTTACCATTCTCATTCTATTAACTACTGTCCCATGCACCTATCCCTGTCTTGTTTGGACAGTGGATGAGGAGCTCCCTCCTGAGCAGACGCCAATATCCCTCTGTGAACTGGCTGGTTGGGGGATGCCTTTTTAGGGATGTAACCAGCACCCTCAGTCTTTGCTCAACCCCCTCCAGCCTAGGACTTTTCTGACCAAAGTGTGCTCTGGCAGTTGCACCAGACTGATCTCAAATAGATTGCAGATTCTTTCCATTCTGAGGGCTTCTGGAAAAGATTGACTAAAACACTAGGCTTGGTTCAAAGGAATAGGGTTTTTAGTGCTTGCATTTTAGCACCTGATTTGAGATGCAATATCAGTCTGTATGCCCTGTATGGTGGTGGTCTTTTCATCTGTCGAATTAGATATGGAAACAATGTTCAGGGTTGGAGAGGAAAGGTTTGTAAAGTATCTTAAACCAATTTGAATGGGTTTCACACATCTGACTAGCTTTTGGAATTGTTAACCTAGTTACCCCCACCTATGATCTTTAAACTATCATGACTGACATTTTTGGAACTTTTTTTTTTTTTTTTTTTTAGCGTAGAGGGGTCCATATCTGTCTAACAAACTGTAAGGTGTCTGGGACTTGATCATGTTTTCCTTGGTTTCAGAAAGCTCCAAGTACACAGACTTTTGCGCAGTAAATAAGTACCAACAGAAAACCCATTATTTTGGGTCAGTTTTCTCAAAGGCTTGACTTCAGTCAAAAGTTTTATTCATGCATGTTGGCCAAGATTTAAAACAAAAAACAAAAAAACAGTGATTTTTGGTGCCCAGCAAGACATCTTAAAGGGGTCTGATTTTCAGAAAGCATGCAGCATCCACTCTGAAAATTAGGTCCCTTTTAAGGTGTCACAAGTTAAGTGCCCAAAATCTTTAATCACTTTTGAAAAATGTAACCAGTATTTTCATCTCCAATGCCTTATCTTAGTGAATGAGCAAAATATTACCACTGAAGTTATGTATGGGAATGTTAACTCCGCTGGGTCTGCTGCAAGGGCACTGTTTTGGATGGTGTGGACTGTCATCGTAATGGAATTTATTCTTGCTAAAAAGTGACCCATGAGAAAAAGAGAGGGGAGGGGCTGAATAGTAAGAAAGTTTGGTAGTATCAGTCCTGATGTTGTCTCGCATTTTGTGAATTGAAATATTTTCTCTTCTCTAGGGGTATGTGGGCTGATAGTACCTCAGGAGGACATGCCATTTTGTGATACAGGAATTTGTCCAGATATCATTATGAATCCTCACGGCTTCCCATCGCGTATGACGGTTAGTAATTTATGTTATGATTAAAAAAACACTGTCCCAAAAATGGACAGTGAAGTGGATTAACCACAGTAAACAAGGTGTGAAAGTTGGACAACAAGATGCAGCATTGCATTTAAGATGTTCTTCCAGCCTTCATTATGTCACATGGTGTCTGCCCTGGGATTCTTCAGTGGGCTGCTTTGTATATGTCATAAGATATCTAAATATGATATATAAAATAAATGGTGATATAGTTTCTGGACATCCTGAACATGAGGTGCTATGCCTGAGACTTGTAGGAAAGCAAAACATACAAGTTATTCAGTCATTTGAGAGAGAGAGAGAGGATACTATCCTTCCCTTAACACTGTTTTAACATGTGCCATCCAAGCTACGCATCAGCTTTCTTCATTCCAAGGGAAGTTTGCCTACCTATTCTTCTGTCCTTCATTGGTGTGCTTCAAAAGGGATCGAGAGAGAGAGAAACACAAGGTTAACATTAATAGTTCTGACTCTGTCACTGATGGGTTGGTAAGCTTGGATTTATTCAAATCATTGTAATCCAGTCTAAACACTTATGTACCATCACACAGTAAAGTTTAACTGGGTGCTAAAGCGTTTGTAGGATTGAGGGCTAATAGAGTATTTGACTAACTCTGTAAAATAAATGGTTTTCATTGAACTATTTAACAAAAAAGAATTAAAATAAACTACCCATTTAAAGCTCAGATTTTGTGTCTGTTAATGCATGGGGGGAAAATTGGCGCACTGGTCAACTTTTGAAAAAGAAACCAAGAAAAACTTCAGATTCCAAATTTCTTTTTGGCAAGAAACTGCTAAACCACCATGAAATAATAGATCCTGAATTGAAAGCCAGCTTCCTATAAAATATAATCTTATTGCTCCCTCGTTTTATTCTTTCGCTCTTCCTATTCAGTTCACTCTTCCTTCAGTACCATGATGCATCTCTTCTAGCTCATGTGTCTTTTCTTCTCTTGTTAAACTTCAAAATATTTTTCATTGACTCTCAGTGTTGTTTGTTTCTCTAATACAGTGGTTCCCAAACTTTAACAACCTGTGAACCCCTTTCACTAAAATGTCAAGTCTTGCGAACCCCCTCCTAAAAATGAATATTTCCAGGGATTTTCTCCTTTACCTGAGTATAAATTATAAAAGCAGTGATCTTGGAAATATAAAATTTGTTTTTATGACATGCTTATTACACACTATTTATTATTACTTATTATTTATCATTAGTATTTTTATTACATTATGAAAATGGCAACACTCTTCCAAGATCTCACTTTCGTAGCTTGTATCACTTTGAATAAGCCTGTTATAAGACAAGGCTCCTATGTTTCATCAAGGAGTATCAGATGTGAAACAAGCATGAAGGTATTTAAGAAGCCAACTTAAAGAGTTCCTCCTACATAAGCATTCAGGTCTTGAGCAGTCCAGGCAAACAACGCACGTTACAACAAAGCTTCATAATAATTTTTAAAACAGTACTAGCTGCCTATTTAATTTTAAAAACAGCAAAAAATATCCACCTCCCTTTCCATTTCTTATAAGGAGTCTTGAAGTTTAAGTCTCCTCAGTGTGATAGATATGTTTGCTTTGATCTGCTTAGCTCTTAGAAGTCCAGGGGCTCCGGGCTGCTGGCCCCATGGTGCCTGGGGTCCCTAGGGACAGCTCTGTCGGCCATTAAAGAATTTTTTCCCGAGAACCCCTGTAACATTTCGTGAACCCCAGTTTGGGAACCACTGCTCTAATACATACTTTTTCTTCGTGACATTCCTCCTTTTCAGCGAGACTCTGACATTACAATCTGCCTAGCATAAGGAGCAGCTGAGGGGAAGATATTGACTTGGGAGCTCTCAGGAGTCACAATCTCACGTCCGGTCTCCCTACTGCTCCAGGCAGGATGTAATCTTTGGGTCTATGCCAGGCACAGCAGATTCTCCCCAACATGCCAGCATAGCTATGTCACTGAACTTACTGGGGGCAGAGCCAAGACTCCATCCAGCTGGGTTGGGGAAGTATAAGCTCTACAGAGCCTACTTCCCCATATGAATTACTGTCCATGATGAAAGTAACTGGTACATAGACCTATGGGAGCGCTTTGCACCCCCTTATGCCCTTGCACTGCCATGCTAGTCAGGCTATCATCTGGCCCTTTATTTATTCAGCCTTTCTCCCTTGTTGGTTTTTAACTTCTATGTTTTCTTTTTTCTCACCACTATCTTTCTCTCCTCTACTCCTGCTACTGATCTCTGGCACTTTAATCTCCTTGGTTTTCTGGTAGCGGGGACTAGATCAGAAGTCCTGTTCACCTTCCAAATGTGAATGATGAGGACGAGCCAGGTGACGGTGAATTTGCAAGTCTTGCCCTCCATGTGCCAGTGAATTGTCAGTTCTGTATTAAGATGCTACATTTTAAAACTCGAGGAGGTGTATCGGAGGTGTAACATGGATATCATGGAAGTACTCTTCCTTTTATAACTTTCTCATGTTTTCCATTGCGCAGGTGGGAAAGTTAATTGAGCTCTTGGCAGGGAAAGCTGGTGTCCTAGATGGCAGATTTCACTATGGAACAGCTTTTGGAGGTAGCAAAGTTAAGGATGTGTGTGAAGATCTCATTCGCCATGGGTATAACTACTTAGGGAAGGACTACGTAACATCTGGCATCACTGGGTAAGAATCTGCTGCAAAAATTTAGGCATTTCAGAGTAGGAGTGAGGAAAGGGCAATTTTTATGTAATTTTCTTTAAAAAAAATTGGCAGCAATTTTTATGTGCTGTTAGAATAAGATTTGCAATGTCACGTTTACTACAATAGTACTGTTAAATATGGAATTGGAGGCAGGTGTCTGTTCCTTGGGCTATATGTGTATGTGCTTTTTTGGTGATTATACAGTGATTCAATCTTACATAGTTGTCTGATCTGTAACTTCCTGCTGTGTTGATAAGACTGTCTTCAGAGACAAGGAGTTCAAAGAACATGAGAGAGTTTAGGAACAGGAAAAACCCATATGGCCCAACATGCTTGCCCTTTTAAAAAGGTCTCTTAATCCCACTTTTCTGCTTTTTCACTATTCCTCCCAGTCTCCCCCACCTACCTCCACTCACAAATCAAATGTATTCAATGGAAAGGATAATCATAGAATTATCAGGGTTGGCAGGGACCTCGGGAGGTCATCTAGTCCAACCCCCTGCTCAAAGCAGGGCCGATCCCCAGACAGATTTTTGCCCCAGATCCCTAAATGGCCTCCTCAAGGATTGAGCTCACAACCCTGGGTTTAGCAGGCCAGTGCTCAAACCCCAGAGCTATCCCTCCGCCCCACAATCAACATATGGAATAAGGTAATTGGCAAGGCAATTAGAATATAAATGAATTCAAGAGACACCTAGATATAAGTGCCCTATTTACTCCTTGATCCCTAAATTAGGTATACATTCTGCATGCATTTCTTTCTATTGATAACATAAGCTATATGAATGATACACATTAAATGATGTGAATAATATCTTAAATCACAGTTCCACTTCTCTCAAACAGTCAGTCTTAGCTTGCAACTGGTAGCACACGGGTGAAATGCACCCACACAGCCTCACTGAAATCAGATGGGCTCTGCACAGCCACAGCAGTCTGCCCCCATGCTATCAGTTGCAGATTCAGAGCCTTATTCTCCACATGAGTGTACAGTAATACACTGGACTGTTATGAGGACGCACTACCAAACTATTCTCTAGAAGTTTATTCATGACTCCATTGCAGATTGTCCTAAAAGTCCAGATGCATTTTTTTAAATAATTCATGACTCCTGGGTTATTTCAAATTGCTTTGCTGCTGTTCCTATCTAGTAGACTGTTTCATATCTTAGGGTAAAAATGAGCTGACCCAGAAGATTGTGTTTATTGTTTTTATTCCTTTAGAGAACCCTTGGAAGCATATATCTATTTTGGCCCTGTGTATTATCAGAAACTAAAGCATATGGTGTTGGATAAGATGCATGCCAGAGCTCGAGGCCCTAGAGCTGTCCTTACCAGGTATTGTTGAAGAATGTGTGCAGAGTATTTGCTGTATAATCAGAAATGTGCTAAATTCACTCAGCAGATAAAAGATTAAGGTGGTTTGTCTCTTAGTATTTAACATATTTTATGTTTCTCGTTTAATATTATTTGTGAAAAAAACCAAAACTCTTATGGAACTGTGATAGGAGGAAGTTAGTTTGCAAATCCAAAGAGTGCTTCATAAAATTCAAGTTGAGGCTTCTACTCTGTTCTTAACTCATTCCGTTGCATCTGGGGAAATGTAGACATGAATCACTGGGTGATGTTTTTAACGTAACAGATATAGACCTATGGTGTTGTTTAAGAGCATTGCTCTCCCTTTTTGTTTCAGTCCTCACTGGCATGTTAAAAGCTTTTTTTCCTTCTGTTTTTGATGTAACTGTAGTGTTCTCACAACACACTGTGTGAATGGAAGAAAAACTTCCTTTGATATTGGAGCAGTCACTGGTATTTTTACATAGTACAATTAATGTTGTGACACCAACTTTTGCCCTTTAATATGAAATGAATGGATTGGCTACAATTTAATGTAAACACCCCTGTCTCTTTCCTCCTCCCACCCAACCCCAATCCCTGTGGTATGGCCAAGAAAGTTCTATACCCCAAGATGGCATTTACCAATCAGTGACCTTTCTGTTCTTATTCAGCATGGTGCTTGTTGACAATTTCAGCACACCCTGCAATTCATCAGTGTCAAAACTTACAAAGAAGCCTGTGATAAGTCTCCATTTTCAGCTGTTTCATTAAAGATCTGATAAAGCTTCCTCAGTTCCCGTGGTGCGGCTATCATTGCACTAAATATGAATTATCCAGTCACGTTTGCTTTCATCTGGCTTTCTCCTTGAATAAACATGGGCAAGTCTACACTACCCCGCTACATCAGGAGCAAAAAGGGTCAACATTGGTGTCTTTAGTTTCAAGTTTAGGAGTCAGAGGATGTGCTTGAAAAAGCATGTATGTAATGCAGTATGCTTCCAGGGATTTACTACCTCCATCTACATCAGGGATCTCAAATTCAAATCACCACGAGGGCCACATGAGGACTAGTACATCGGTCTGAGGGCCGCATCACTGACACCTTTTCATATAAAGGTACAAAAGCCCCCCACCCCCTGTTGCCCCTGGCCCCGCCCCCACTCCACCCCTTCCATGAGGCCCTGCCCCGCCTCTTCCAACCCCTTCCCCAAATCCCAACCCTTGACCCGCCTCTTCTCCACCTCCTCCCCTGAGCGCGTGGCTCCCCGCTCCTCCCCCCTCCTTTCTGGAAAGTGCTAAGCAGGCGGGAAGTGCCTGGAGGTAAGCAGAGGAGCGGGGACATGGCAGGCTGCGGGGGAGGGGAGTTTGGCGGCCGCAGGAAATAACTCTGCGGGCCGCATATTTGAGACCCGTGATCTACATGTTCAAGGACTCTGGATTTATCTGGCTTCGTGCCCTTGAGGCCAAACAAAGACTCATCCCCTTCAGCTATAGTCCATATGGCTGCTCATGCTGCTCAAGTTGATAGGCCAAGAGGATCCATCAAACCTTATTTCACTGAATCACTTTGCTTGGAAGTGACCTCTGGTGGATTACCTTGTCCATCTCGCTGCATCATAGTAGGATTGCTTGCATGATCCCTAAATCCTGTGAGACAGCTAGCTGTCCAGTCTAGTCTTGAATATCACTAGTGAAGATGATTCCAAAATCTCTTCTGGAACCCTATTTACCTAACTAGCCCTGCCTTGGTACTTATATGCACCCATCTAAATCTTAGCACCATTACCTTTTGATCCGTTCTTGTTAATGAATTACAGCAATTGATCACTGTCCCCTTTATAACCTACCCTCACATACCTGCATAATAGTCCATGTCTGCTTTTATCTGGCTTTCCCCTTGCTTTTGAGGAAACTAGCAGATCGTTCGATTTAAGCTGCCTTATGACCACCAGTCTTAGAAACTGTTTGTCTCCACTAATTCATCCTTTCTTATTACCATCACCTCCACTAAGAGAATGAGTTCCAGACTTTCATGTTTGTTTCTTTATCCATTGCATTTTACAGAGGACAGAGTGAACTAACTGTATCTTAAAATGTGAGTCTGTGCTTTGAATAGTACTCCTATAAAAACGACATTTCATTGTGGGGTTCACTGGTTATTGTCTCAATCATTTCCATATCAAATGTGCTTAGTTTTGCTTTGTAAAACTCTCTTTACAACTGTGGAAAACTCCACCTGGGATCCGAGAGTCAAAGCTGGCTTCTTTCCTTCTTGAACATCACTAGTACTAAAGATTCTGCAGATTAAGTGATGCCCACACACATCTGTCTAGCCTCATTGTCTTAAACATCCGTTTTTGCTTTTTTACTATTGCTATGCATTGAGTTGATGTGTTCATTTATCTCCTTGATACCTAGATTTTTTTTCCCCCCATGAGCAGTTAGTTAAGGTAGAACCTGTATATATGTATATGGATAGTCTAATATTTATTTATTCTAATGTGTATTATCTTGCATCTGAATTTAATCTGCTATTCTGTTCTATATAGGTTTTTACACCATCATTGTAGGATTTGAGGGCCTTCCAGTAGTGCATTGAGCAACGTGACTAACATCTGTCACATGTTTGTCCTCTTATCCTTTCCCCAGGGAGAGGTGTGTGCGCAGGGAAGTATCTTGTTTTAGTGTTTGTTTGGTTAAAAACAAAAAAGAGAGAGACCGAGCTATATGTTTCTGATAGAGAAAGCAAGTCACAGAAGTGCACCTTGCCAATGGAGCAGGAGGTGGGAAGGTCCTTAGTTCCTGGGGGAGTTCTTTTCACCGTCGGAGTGGCCCCTAAGAAAGCTCTGTCTCCTGTACAGGTCAGCTTCACCCTCATCGTAGAAAGCTCCGTTGTGCCAGAGGAGCGAAGTTGACTCGGAATCAGACCCTTTCTCCTCTGTTAGACTAAATTGGTCAGTTTCAGAAAGCTGTGTCTGTGGGAGCAAAATGTCACTGCAAAGAAAGAGACCTGACAGCAGCTGGTGTATGAATATAAAGGCTTCGAGGGTTAGGCAGTGTTCCTAATTTTAGGCTCATCCTATCCTCTCTGCTCTATGGCAAAATGTTTGGGGTTCATGGGTCTCCACCCCGAGACATAAACGGGTGCCAAAGGCCCCAAATAAAACTCGCAGGCAGCATCAAAGAGGAAGCTAGAATCCTATTGCCCAGTCAGCTCCATATATTATGTAACTACATTTACTTTTCTATGCAGGAAATCGGTGTTGGCGCCTCTGCCGGTTATTTTCTCTTCTTGTGCGCACATACACACATACAATTATCAGGGTGAATAACTCAGTCCTAGCTTGTTGCCTGCTTGCATTTTGAAATAATCAGACACACCAGTTTCATAATGCATTGTAAGAAAATAATTTGGTAATACTGGTCAGTGTTGCCCTCCGCTCCCCAAGGCCTTGGAGCAGTGTCCCCTCTCTTCCTGTCAGAGATATGAAGGTCCTTTCGATAACATCCCCACCCTTGAGGCCCAGCGATTCAGCCAGCTAGCACTGTTTAACAGGTATCGGTGATCACTGTTGAGCAGAGCGAGACATACTTTCATCCCCCGGGGTTGAGTACCTTTTCCTCTGCTGGCCTAGGAAGCAAGAAACAGGGCAAGAAATTGAACCCAGTCTTCTGGATAATGCAGAATAGTGCCATTAAACTGTTGATCTGGGTTGAGGTTTTTAAAGTAAATAAACATTGGAGTTAACGGCTTGATTATTCCAGTTCTAACGGTAATAGTTAAGTAAACAATATCAGGATCAGCTGGCTCCAGTTTTTCATTTAAGGATGTGGTTCTTTTACTTTCAGTGCTTCTGGTGCTGTCTGGTTTTAGTTGTGTTTCTTTTTGTTTTTTGAAATTTGAAATGTTTTCTGTTTTTCAAGCTTCCATGTTTGGGTCTCTTGAGCCACTGTTTAGAATGCAGAAAGGAAGTAATTGCTAGGGACAACAGCTGAGGTGGCTGGGTGGATGAAAGAGAGAAGGAACACGCAAACCCTTTATAAATATTATATTTTATAATATTAAATAACACTTAAAGGGGAGGGGAGATTTCAAAAGCACCCCAGTGTGTGTGGAGAACAAGTCACATTGATGTCATGTAGGCTTTGTGCTGCTAGCTCACTTACGAGGTTTTGAAAAACCCACTCTCTGGGTAAAATTTTCTAAAGCATCTAAGTCCCATTGACTTTCAGCGAGACTTAGGCATCTGTGCCAGTTTTGAAAATGGGGGACTTAGGTGCTTTACTCTGTATCTTTAAAGACCATAGGTTTCTAAGGACTGGAAAGGAAAGAGTGCACATAGTTTTTCCAGAATCTCATTATTCCATTAACTGGAAGGGGAGTTGTGGGGTCTCAGAGGCAGATTTTCAAAGGTAGGTAGGCACATAAAAGATGCAGATAAGTGCCTAGTGAGATTTTCAAATGTGCTTAGGTGCCTATGTGCACCTTGAGATGCATCTTTATTCAGATTCCTTTCAAAATCTGGCCCTCACAGCCTTGCCGGATAAGCGCCGGGATCAATCATTAAAGCGGCGTCTGAGCATGAAGATGCCACCATCTGTGTGTGAGAGAACTAGGATGTTAAACTGTAAACAGATTCTTCCGATTGTCACAACAAGGAAGAAAATGAAACCAATTACATGAATGGAAGGACAAATTTGAATTGCAAACAGATTAGCTTTACGTTCCCAAGGTGGTGAGAGAAAAAATGAAAGACTTCTTCGAAAAGTAAATACAGTTTAAACCTTGACAAGATCCATTGAATCTAGTAACTCAGATAAATAACTACAAAAAGGTAAGCAGGATAATTAGATATTGAGACCATTTATTTTTTGAACCATTTTTCACTCTAAAATTGCAACTTTACTATGGAAATAAAATAGTTTGAATTATTATACACAAAATACGTATATTACAAAAGTTGCAGGCCCGATTTGCTAGTACACACTGGCTGCTTTATGCCACTCCAGTGATGCAAAGCATCCAGATATCCAGCTCCACCACCCAGGTTAACCTGTGCTTTAGGACCACCATAAACAATTCTTCCTATCCCTTGGTGTTTAAAGGTCTGATCCATGGCTCATTGAAGTAGAAACTTCCATTGATTTCAATGGTCATTTTGTATCCATCCCTAAACCTTTAAAATCCTTTTATCTTCTTTTAAATATTTCATGTGACATATTCTGGTTAGCAAATTACCCAGGACAAAATAGACTATATTAAAACTGCATACAAAAGAGTTATCTTCATGGAGTGGAAAACCAGGAGTCAAGATAAAAGATTCAGAAATGAGTATTTCTTTAAGGTAAAATGCAGCCTATCTTTAATTACTTAAAGGGATTCTGTAATGATTTAGGCAATGCATATAAATTATTTTGTTTAATACATTGTGATATTTTTAAATGTTTCCATTACGTTTTTTTAAAAGTTGCTTTTTTGTCATTCAACTGCTGTTTGCAACCCAAATATTGCTGCAGTGTGCTAGTATGTGAGTATCAAAGACTGCAGTATTGCCAACCTCTAAAGGGTTCCAAAATCATGAGATTCATTTTTTAAAAAAACTTTTTTTTTAGCCAGTCTTGCATTTTGATTTGCATTCTGGTTTCAGAGCCTTTTAGAGTGCACTCGAATCACATTTTCAAGCATTTCTCCACAACCACAAGGAGCAGAAACTTACTATTTTTGTAAACAAAAGCTGAGACTTTCCCATAATCACTTGTGTTCAAGAGCTGGGTCTAAGTAAAATGCCAAATATCATGAGGTTCGTGATGAAATCATGAGTTGGCAACACTGAACTGACAAATCTATATATGTTTTGCATTTCTGCTTAGACAAACTGCATAAATGTTAAGAAAAGTCTTTTTAAATTGTTTCCAGTTTAATAATCTTTTACTAACGCACATGAAAGAGAGGGAGCAGCAGGCCAGGCGTTCTTCGAGGGCCCTTCAGCTTTGGAACTTGCTGTCCTGGGTCCAACTAGTCCTAGTTTATTGATGTTTGCAAACATTGATAGTGTGTTGCAAAGCCTCCTGTATTTTACTAGCTGAGAGAGACCAAGAGGACACTGGTGGGAGATCATAATATTTTTCACTGTTGTGTTATGACTTGTATTAAAGAGTGGGCAAAAGGGGATTCCTGGAATAGCTGTTTGTATAACACAGCTTTTAAAATATGTCAAGGGGCACCTAAAGCATAGGTGCTTCCTTTTAATGTGTGTTTTAAAGTGAAAGTAACTTTAAATGTCCTTTTACAGTTTTTTTTTACTTGTAAAAAAATGTCAAATTAAAACAAACATCTCATTTTTCCAGTAGGTTTTTTTCATTTCTACATGTATCAAATGACTTATTTAAAATTTTATCCGAGGTGTGAAGTTTTTTTTCCTAGATCCCATTAGCTAGAATATATGTCCAATTAAAAACACATCATCTGTTTTGGCTCCTGTTTTATTTAGCTGGATAATAAAACATCAGTACTTTGAATGCTCTGTAAACATAATGTTTACTAATTTTGCATCCGTGTATGTAGTTATAACTGGATTCTTGGCTAAGGAAAACTCATGTTATTTTGCATTTATTCAACTAAATCCGTGAAATAAAGAATTATGGTCCAGATATTGCAATCCTTACTCATGTAACTGCTGCATATTACTCGTGCGTAAGGACCATTTGCATGTATAAAGGTTTGCAGGATTTGTCCTGTGGTTGTAGACCTTTAATTTAAGCCTATTGGTACTATTCCTTAGGGAATACTTTCCTAAAATTTGAGGGCATATGTTCCAGAAATACTTACTATTATATTCTTTAAATTGCTTATTTCAAAGGCAACCCACTGAAGGTCGATCGCGTGATGGTGGTTTACGTCTTGGAGAAATGGAACGAGATTGTTTAATAGGTTATGGAGCCAGCATGCTTTTGCTGGAGAGACTGATGATTTCAAGTGATGCCTTTGAAGTGGATGTCTGTGGACAGTGTGGCTTGCTGGGATATTCTGCTTGGTAAGTTGACTCATTTTAATGTTTTCCTGTTAGTGGGTTTACATCCTGATCTTTCCCTCTTATTTTACACATGCAATATTATGTTCTGTATGTCCACTTTAAAGAAAGCTATTGAATCTTTAAATTATGTGAAGCAAACTGATTAACACAGTAAATACATCTACAGAATAATACTTAACACTTGTGTAGTGCTTTTCATCTTCAAAGTGCTTTGCAAACGTTAGTTAACATTTCCATACATTTTAATTAATCTACATCAATGACCGGGTAAGTGTAAAGGGGATGCACTCCGAATGGTCATGGGATTGGTAACAGGATATAGAGCTTTTCACTATTAAGGCACTGGTTCCTTCTGACTTGGTAGTGCAGTTATCACACACAGTGGGAAATGAGTTAGTAGTCTATGGGCCAAATTCTGTCCTAACTGAAGTTGAAATGTCAGAGGGTTCAAGGAAAAACAAAATCTGGCCTTTCTGGTCCATCTCTCAAAGTGGGAATAAATATCCATGTCCCAAAACTCAGTCACAGTTGGTACCTTTTGGCAGCCTGAGAGACAGGACAAGGTTGGAATTAACATGGAAACTGTACTGCCCTCTCACTCATTCTCTAGGGCAGGGGCGGGCAAACTTTTTGGCCTGAGGGCCGCACTGGGTTTCATAAATTGTATGGAGGGCTGGTTGGGGGGGGAAGGAGGAGGGTTGTGGCCCAGCCCCCACCTTCTATCTGCCTCCTCTCCCCCGGACCCCTGCCGCCCCATCCAACCCCTCCTCTCATTTTTGATGAGCCCCCCCCCGGGACCCCTGCCCCATCCAACCACCCCTTCTTCCTGTCCCCTGACTGCCCATGGAACTTCTGCCCCTGACTGCCCCCCGCCACCCCATCCAACCCCCCCTCCTTCCTGACTGCCCCCCCGGGACCCCTGCCCCCATTCAACCCTCTGTTCCCCCCTGACCGCCCCGACCCCTATCCACACCCCTGCCCCCTGACCACCACCCTGAACTCCCCTGCCCTCTATCCAACCCCCCCCTGCTCCCTGCCCCCTTACCGCGCTGCCTGGAGCACCGGAGGCTGGTGGTGCTGGAGCCGGGCCACGCCACCACCACTGCACAGCACAGAGACCGGGTCAGGCCGGGCTCTGCAACTGCGCTGCCCCAGGAGCTTGCTGCCCCGCCGCCCAGAGCATTGCGCTGGCGGTGGAGCGAGCGAACTGAGGCTGCGGGGGAGGGGGAACAGCAGGGGAGGAGCCTCCCGGGCCAGGAGCTCGGGGGCCGGGCAGGACGGTCCTGCGGGCCATAGTTTGCCCACCTCTGCTCTAGGGGCTTGTCTACATAGAGTTTGTTTTCCAATTTAACTCAACCAACTTAATTCAGTTGTTGCAACTCTCCTACTGGGAACAGGCTGTTTGATGGGTTTGTGTCTTAAATCACGTTAGCTTAGGTCATTTACAAACCAGCTTAAGATAAATTGATTGACACTTAAAACTAATTTAAGTGTCCACACACACAATTGCATGGATTTATCTAAATTGGTTTAAAATCACACCTTTAGTTAAAATGGTGCAACTTTGAGTGTAGACCAGGGCTTAGTTAATTGTCTCTGAGAGCTTGTCTGCCCAGCATGGCAAAGTGCACTGAAGGGTGTGATCTCTAGCGCTCTAACATGTTGTGCTGTAGCCAACCTGTGTAGACCCCGCTGGAGTGCTTTAAATGGTACCCAGTTCAGATTAATGTTGTCCTGCTTGAAATGGAACTACATCAGCGTGAACTAGAGCATGCCAGCTGGATCTACATGGGGCAGTTAGAACGCAACATGCTAGCGCTCTACAGATCACACCCCTCTGGTGCACTTTGCTTCGCTGTGTAGACAAGCTCTAAGTCATTGGCAGTGTACTGTTGGGAAGCTTGCACTGCCACTCACTGTACCTCTTCTGTAGCTAGCTTTGAAAATTAACTTGGAGGACTGATGGCGGCCATTATCAGTCTAGCACATTTCATGATACTTAATTGAATTAACTGTTATCTTTTATTAAGGGAGAGTGATGAGATTTTTACCAAAAAAAAAAACATAGGACCATATATTTCTAAGGCAGTCATAAATATTTTTGAAGGAATGCTATTTTTTTCAGTAAGATTTTCAGAAGCATGTAGTGCCCTTTCATACTTAATTTTACTACAGAATAGAAAAAAAATCTTTAATACCATACTGTTTTTTCTGCAAGTTCCAAAATACACAAAGGGCACCATTAGTAGATGGTGTTTTTAGTTGCTGAGACTGGGGTTTTTTTGTGTACTGTAATTCTACCCACATTCTCTGACCTACTCCAGTTCCCTTAATACTTTCTGTATGTTCTCACGAGCAATAGACTTTCTGATTTCCTTTTACAAGTCTGCAGGATTCTCTTCTCTAAAGCCATTTCTCCACCTAACATACCAACCGGGAGTAGATGGGTGCATATTTGTTTTGTTCATTTGTAGAGAATGTTTTCTTTTGGGTTGGAGGACCAGGAAGAGCCTGAGCTCACCTCTGAATCTCTGATCTATGCTGTACCAATTCCGTATCGCATAGATCTTTTGGAGATGTTAGTATTGCTTTAGTCTCCCATTGCCACATGCTTGTCCTTGCTAGAGAACAGAGTTTACCACTCTCCTGGTGTCTCTGGGCCAAATTTTGTTCTGGAACCAGAGTAAACTCCAGGGGCACAGGTGTTTTAATGATTGCCCCTGTGGCCGTTCCAGGGGCAGTGGTGGACAGGAAATAACAGTGAAGAAGAGCACACAGGAATGCATTAGTAGTAAAATTCAAGGGGCTCTATTCTCCTGCCCTAGGATAAAAGTGACTCTTTTATTTAAAACAGTGGGAGTTACTTGGATCCTGCCTTGGAAAAATCAGGCCCCATGTCCGCTACTGTTCTAATACTACAGAGATTTAGCTCAATACAATAGAAAGATCTGTATGTATGGTTTTGTTTGTTTTTGTTAAAAAAGCAAATGTTTTCAGACTATCTAATGAGTCCTGCTGGCTCAGGTTTTTCCTTGAGTCTTTGTGGTGCCTGTAAAGCTGATGGATTACGTCTTTGCAGGACAGAAATCATTTAAAGGGGAATTGGACTCTCCCCTATGCTTAGCACAGGAAAATTACTTTCTTCTCTGGAGAACTTCCAGCCCCTGCTAGAAAATCCTCCAAGTCTAAACTTTAGAGAAACCAAAAACGCTCTTTAACTGGATACAGGAATAAAGACAAAGACCTGATTGCACATCATATCTGTATTATTTATAAATGAATGATTTACCTTTTAGAAAAAGGAGAACCAGCTGTATCAATGTCCTTGAACCCCCCAGCCCCTGAATCCCAGCCATAGATTACTGAATAGTTGAGATCAGGTTCACCACAGACTCAAACCTTCATAATTTCCTGTGAGTCTTGCAGCGCAGAAGAGAGGGATGGGGAGATGAGCGCGGTGATCAGCATCTTCTGTTTGTTGTACTTCTCAGGCTGTGGAATCTCCCCCAGATTACTGAATTTCCCACATTGCCACCGTTTGTGCTTTGCCTTCCCCCGCTGGCTCCTCTACAGAGCGCCCTGATAGGTACTTCCTTCCACTATGGGAATACAAGACAAGGTACACCTGTTGGAGATGTTAGAAAGAAGCACTGATTGCTGGGGAAAGGCAGAGCACGACTAACCCAGCAAGGATGGAGCTTCCTTGTTGGAACGTGACCATCTGTTAGTCTCCCTCTAGCCAAATGCTTTCGTCTTAGGGGAAAAAAGCATTTCTTTGCAGGTAAGGTTATGATGTCACTGTTGTCCTGGATTCTAGCCTAGCGCAAGCTTTATCGTATGCAGACTAATTGCATTTTCCTCAAGTACTGCAAACATGGAATTGGAGGCCAAAACTATTTGGAATGCAACACCTCTTAATGGTGTGGATTTGGATCCCAGATGCCTTAATTTTCTACTACGAATTTAGTGTACTGCGCATAAGGCTATACAGTAGGTTGCCACGAATACATCTTTGTTATTAGAAGCTATGGACCTTTGTCTGCCTATTTTTCATAGTATGTTATGGGTGAGGACGTAGACTGAAAGTAAATCTTGCTCTTTTGTATGTGAAAGAGATGGGACGCTTTTTTTGGTCTCAGTGTCAGAATATCTTTCTTTTTATCATTTGATGTGCATGTGTTTTGCCCCAAAAGAGGGTATCTCTTTATTTTCCTCTACTCTTGTGCTCATATAGCTGAAGTCTAGGTGGATAGTCTGAGGACTGAGGTTGTTAAACATCCATGTTCCCTGAAAGGAGCATAAAGCCTGGTCCGAACATCCCTCAATAATCAGTGATTTTTTTTTTTAAGAGTGTGTGAGTGTGTGTGTGTGTGCGCGCGTGTGTGTGCACCCATGCGTGTGTGTGTGGGGGGGGGGAGTGTCACATATTATAGGGCTTTGATCCCTGGTTCAGGCCTCTCGGTGCTGCTGCAACACAAATAAATAACAGCAGAACTACCTAGCAGCAGGACACCACCTGTTGGTTTTCTTACCGTTAATGTTATTTAAACTGTTTGGATTCCTAGTTGTGCTTTTGTCATATGACTCAGCCAATGGCTATTGAAGATGTCAGGCCTTAGAAGAAGACCGTATTTGGATTGTTTAGTACTATATAATTGTTTAAATTCTAGTTTGATGTGGAGTCCTATGAGAGAAGACTAAATCATTGTTTGTGACTTGAATCTCTCCAGTTAAGCAGCTGTGTAGACATGCATTACTCTGCACGTGAGTGCCGAGTGCCAAGTGCACTCTTTGAACTTCTGTCATGATACCACAAATATATATATGGGCCAGACTAATGAACGTGTGATAAGTGCTGTGCCCTCCGGAGCATGAAACCTGGGTTCATTTTCCAATGCCAGGCTCTGGCTCCACGGGCAAGGATGGGCCGAGAGTGTAATCTGCTTCTGAGTGGAAGGAGAACGCCTTATGTTTCTCAACAGCAACTTCTTCCACCTGTT